AAGTTAGGATGTAGGTAGTACGTCCTTGCTGGCGGGAAGTAAGTTTAAATTTCAGTTAGGCAAAGTTGCTACAACTTTTAAGTGCACTTACACTAAGTGGAACAGTTTACGTTGAGTAACTTGTAAGTTTGGAAGACAGGGAAGGACTGCAGTTTGGAATAAATTCTTTACGTTTTTTTTTGTGAGGGGAAAGTCGTCAAATGACTTGTCTCGTCAAGAGTGAGGCGAGAGGGAGTGTCAGACTCTTACTGATGGAAAACTCCCCGTTCCTTCTGCTGCTCTGGGCCGAAACCGCGGTGCCTTATTGCGGTTGACCCCAAACCCTCGCTGTAATTCTATACGTATTTACGGGTAACGATTCGTAGCGGTTTGACGAGGTCACTCGCTTACTTTCAAGTGATACATAGAGTCCATATCTAATCTCCTTCTTGACATAATATGCTTTTTTATTAAATATCTTGTTTTATTTTCATTTCACTGTTATTTTTAATGATAGATCACATTGATCTGCATTTATTAATGCAAGTACTTTTGAAAGTTTTTAGTGATTACAGAATATATAACATGGTTCATACTCACAAAACTGCGTTTTAGCATTCTTAATAATTCAATCGAAAAAATAAACATGATGAAGGATTTTCCATTTGTTAAACAGACAGTCAGATTACATGTTTATGGTTGTCCGCACAGCACATATCGGGCCCATAACAGACAAAACCGACGTTTCCTCAAATAATGTATGTTTTTACGAGCAACCATCACTTTGATCCCCTTCACTTGTACGCTTTAGTAGTTTTCTTTATCTAAAGAGTTTTTATGACGTATAAAGCTGACTACAAATTCACTAACATGAAATCACTAAACCAGCATATAAATGGCACAGTGCCTTGCAGTATCAGCTCTGACGCGATCCTCGTGGCAGAGTGGAAATACCAACCAGAAGAATTGAAGGCCGAATTATTATAACTGTAAACCCCAGACTTGTAGGGAGTGGCTAGAGAGGCCCCTAGGCGTCCTAACTTTTAACAAAGTATGGCAAGTTTCGAAACTGTAGCCCGACCCTGTCGATTAGGGCGATATTCAGACGGGATTCAAAGAGCTATACTACCACAGGTGGGGCCCAACATTGCCAATGCTTAGCCGGGTCAACCGCAATAATGGATCGTGGCTCCGGCCAGGAGCAGGAGAAGGAAAGGTCGCCTTTTCGACAGTAAGAGTCGTCGTCACTAATTTTCGCATGAGAGCTCTCGCCCCACCCAAGAAAGAGAAGTCATTTGACTGCACGGTTGGCGCGGTGGCTGGGCAACTGGCTGCTGTGCTACTTGTCGCTGGTCCGATTCCCGCACGGAACAATACTTTGTGTGATCCACAAATTGTTATTCCGGGTCTAGGTGTGTTGTGTATGTGAAATTGTATGTTTGTAAACGCACCCACAACACAGGAAAAATACTAAGGGAGGCAACGTTTTTTTTTAAAGAAAAAATAACATATCTTTATCAAGATTTTATTATCACCTTTCCTAAAACAAACCAAGACAAGCACAAGGCACTTAGACTATAGGTACATATTCAACCCAGCCCATGGAAATAATTTTTAGAAAAAAATCGTGAGAAATGAATAGTTTTAGTTATCATCAAAATGTATATAAGCACGGCAGTTACATTCTCACACATGTTGCATTCAACTGTGTAATCTATGCAAAATATAAGCCGGACTTAATATGACACGGAATATGCCGTGCCGGTTGCCGACCGGAACGGTTTTAATTAAACCATAGATTGTACCGTATGAGAGACGTAAAACGAGCATTGTATAAACTTGTTTATTAATTTAGAGGGAGTTGGACGTATGTCGGAATAAAATTGGACTGAGTCCATACGGATACGGATTAAGTAGACGTATGAGAAGTTATACTATAAGTTCCTAGAATGCATTATTTTTATTTGTAACTACCTAGCTGTAGGGTCACCGCTGAAAACCAGCGCTGTTGTTTCGTGCCTGCGTGCGCGAGACACAGCATTTATGCTGAGCGCTGCCCTTTTTCACGCATGAGTGACGCAATTGCAGTGCTTTTCTTTTTTTATGTTCATTGTTTGTTTTGTCCCTATTTAGCTATATTCGTGTGTGTTTGTTTCTTACGTCATTTGTGTGTGAAATAAATGGTTTTTCTTTCTTTCTTTCTTCTTTCTACTCTCGCGCGGTTTCACCCGCTGCTCAGCTCCTTTTGATAGTAGCGTGATGTTTTATAGCCTATAGCACCCAGGAACATTGTTGCAAATCAGTGAAAGAATTTTGGCAATTCTACCAGCGGTTCCACAGATTACCCCCTACATACAAACTTACAAACCTACAAACATACATACTTACAAATTTACATTTTTTTTTATAAAATTAGTATAGATGAAAGTCAGTTGACTGTCTTTTTGATCGAGCGGTGGCACGTTTAAGCAAGGTCGATCAAGGGATATCGGATTCGATTTCGGAGTTGTGCAAAAACAGTAATCATCATCACACCATCAGCGTTTAAGCACCCACTACCGAGCAAAGGCCTCTTCTCACAAAGAAAGGCTTTGAGCATTAATCAAGACATTAGCTCAAGGCGGATTAGCGATTTTAAACTTATAATTAGAATTTGTAAGTACAGCTTCCATAACAATGTTTTCCGTCACCGTTTTTCCGTGGTGTCTTAATAATCATAGAAAGTACCGGCCTAAAGCTAAAGCTAGGTTTAACGCCTTACCATACGGGTCCCCCCGACACCTGTAAATCAGTCCAGTTACTCGGATTGAATTTCAATGCCAATTATAATTAAAATCCATTTAGTAGTTTTGACGTGAACGTGTGACAAACATCCTTCTTTCCGTACTTTAAAAATATTCCATTTTTTTATATGTATCACTCATATTATATATGGACCTCTGCCAATACCTTCAGTTATAAAAGGCATGAAGTTATAACAACACAAGTTATTCGTGTAATATTTTACTGCTAATAAATTCCACTTAAACTCTTAAATCCGAGATGTTATTAAATTAATTATGAAGTATAATTATTCATTTAGTGTGGGCGCTACAATTGTTTGGAACAATTTAATTAGACTAGTGTTATATTTCTATAGTTTAGTTTTGTATTATATACTAGCGGCCCACCCTTAGTTCGCACGGGTGTCAACTACCTCCTGATTTTCTAATTCCCTCCTCAAATTTCCTAAAATTACTTTTTATGGAATAGGTCTGCAAACGAGCAGACGGATTACCTGATGGTAAGCAATCAGCGCCGCCCTAGGACACCCGCAACGGCGGAGTTACGAGTGTGATGTCGACCTTTTAGGGATAAGGGTTTTGGAGATTTAGGGATTGGGTGGGATCGGGGGAGGGGAAGGATTGGGCGTCCGGTAACACGACGCTGTGGTTGTTTCACGTCGGTAAAATTTGCCTAGGCGTTGTTAAGTTATGCGCTTACCAATACATTTTGCTATTCATTTTTGAATTACATAATTATATATAGGTATTTAAAGAGAAACTTTAGGCGTGACTGGATAGCTGGTTCAGTGGTTCAAGTGGTCGGAATGTCGGTGTTGGTCTGCATATATTGTTCTACACTATGTTTGTTGCCCTCCTCCGCTTCGCGTCGGTTTCCTCAGTGCTGAGGGTCGTGACCACCTCGTGGAAGCAGTGTACTGCGTATTTCTTTCCGCCATCTATTTCTATCTGCCGCCGAGTGGAGAGCTTCGTGGACTGTAGTGTTGAGAGTGGTGCGAATCTGATCCGTCCAACGTATCGGACTTCTGCCTCTAGGTCTCTTTCCTCCCACCTTACCAGTGATCAGTAACTTTTACAATTTATCATTGTTCCTTCTGGAAGTGTGTCCAAAAAACACCACAATAAAGCTATGTTTAAAAATGTTTAGTTTGTTGCTAATGCTTGTTGCATTATGCTATAAAAAATCTATCATTTAATCAAGAAAACCAGTTTTTACTAACCTGCATAAAATAATAATAAATATCAAGTACGCTTAATGTGACCTTGATTTCAATGTAATTGGAATTCTATAATCGTGGTATTTACGTTTAATTTACCCTGCAGCTTGTTTGTTGAGAAACAAAAGACAAACGAACGTGATTCTTCGCTCCGAGCTGTCTACAGATTCCAATTTGATTCAACAAACATCCTTTGTGTGGGTTCTGGGATCCGCTGTTTATTTTAATACTGATTTACCATTTCGTTTTAACCTGTGTTACCTTGTCTAATATCGACTATAATATTATTATTACGTTATATATGTATAAAACGAATGGGCCCTTGTCTTCTATCGACTACATTATTATTACGTAATAAACGTTATATATAACAAATGGGCTGGCTCGACCGGAGTAATTAATACCACGGCCTCACAGAAAACCGGAGTGAAACTACGCTTGCGTTGTTTCATTGTGTGGGAGAGGTTACCAGTGGCCGAATGCTCCATATATTCAACCCTCCCCCAATCCCCAAATCAACTAAACCCAAATCTCAAAATACTCAAATCTCCAAATCCCCAAATCTTCAAATCCCCCCCATCTCAATTTTACCCGTGTCTTAAATACAGAATACAGTTTTAATCACAGCTTTAGTGTTGTTAGTTTCCATGGGCAATTAAAATTGCTTACCATCGGGTGATGCCATAAAAAATATTCAATGGAAATTCCACATAACATTTACCTGTAAGGAATCCTGCCATCTTACCCGCATACAAACGTTCGATCTGGAGAATAAATTTTGCATTTGAAAAATTCAATCATAAAATATATCTCAGGGATGCATTCCGGAACGCTTTCTTAAATTCTCGTATATTAAAGTTTTTTGATTTTCCGTACCGTAATATCCAAGGAGGTTTATGTATATGTATGTAATTCCACCAAATGTTTTAAATGTAAAAGCAAATTTTTTGTTAGTTTGTTTACTCTTTAGATGGCATATAACCTTCTTAATTTATTTTCTAGCAGCTTAGCTTAGAAAAAAATGGTTGGGAGAGTTGATGATGCCGAGAAGAATAGGCTAATTGAGAAGCTTTCCATAAAAGTAAGTAATTTTAAGTGTGACAGAGTCCAGTTTCGGCACGAATGGGCCAGGTCGACTGAAGTGATACCACAGCTTCACAGAAAACCGGCGTGGAGCAAAACCTATGTTGTGTTTTGCGTTTGATTGAGGTTTCTAGAGGCCCAACCCTTGCCCCACCCTCAATCGTCAATACCACAATCCTTAAATCCCTAGTACCTAGTGGCCTATCACTATTCACCCTCTTGTGGGTACACAATAGGCCAGCAACGCACTTGTAGTACCTCCTTTGTTGTTGCGAGTGTCCATGGGTCGCGCCCAATTGCTTACTATCATGATACAATACGTATGCTCGATGTCCGACATAACAATGACATTAAAAAAAAAAAACAAAAAAAAGAAAAACGAAAGACAAGCAATATCCGAAATTAATGAAGGATTTTAAAAGATGATTGGAATGCTCACTTTTTAGTGAATAACATGGCCAGTATTACCTTTTGAGAGCAGACTTTTAGTACATAATCGATACCTATTAAATGAAAAAAAGTATCTTAAAATTTATCGCGCAATTTCTTTAGCGCAGTCTAAAGAAGAAGGCCATAAGCTAGTTTGAAATAAATCATAATATGACTTTACCTTATGCACACATTGTATATATTTCACAATGCACCCGAGATCCAATGCCTCCGGGCATCGTTATCTACTCGTAATAAATTGCGAATGGATTTATTATACGTGGATATTGCATTTTATACTTTTTAATTGTGGTCGTGCGTTTTAGCGTAGTTTTAGGTTTAGTGTTGTTTTTTGTTCTACGTTATAGATCGGCAAACGAGCAGACGGATTACCTGATGGTAAGTAATCAGCGCCGCCCATGGACGGGTGTTCATGGGCGGTGTAAATCCGCAACGGAGGAGTTACGAGTGCGTTGCCGACCTTTTAGGGATTAGGGAATTGAGGAGGCATTGGGGGTGGGGAAGGATTGGGCCTCCGGTAACCTCAATCACTCTGCGAACACAACGCTGTGGTTGTTTCACGCCAGTTTTCTAAGGCCATGGTATCACTCCGGTCGAGCCGACCCATTCGTGCCGAAGCATGGCTCTCCCGCACTTTAAACACTGTTGTGGATTATTTGCTTAAAAAAGGTTTAATACGTTGAATCTCTTGTTTTGTTTTTTAACAATTTGCGATCTATGAAACTTTCAATATTGGAAGTTTGCTTTAGTGTAAACTCAGATTTTTGAATAAAAATGTACACGTATCAATGCCTGAACTGAGCCGGGCCGCGATAAGAATGCGTTTTAGTAGAAGCCCAGGTTGGAGATAACAATTTAGAAGGGTCAAGTTTACAGCTTCCGCGTGTATATGTATACTTCTGGGCCATCACGACATTGTGTTTTAACAACAGCTTCTGCCAGCGACATTCTACATCCGCAGTATGAGGGGTAAAATATACAAATCTTAATAACTATACCTATTTATTTGCCAATTCTAATTGCGATCCGTCCCTTACTTTTATAACAACCGTTCGATTGTTTTTTTAAAGTTCGACACATCCATAGGTATGTCCTTACCTACAAACTTTTTCCCCTTTATAACATTATCGGGATACACAAATACGACATACTTCACCACTTCTAAATTCCAGACAGTCCCAAGCGAATTTTTCCCTCATCAATTTCACATGTATTTTCAACACGCGATTTTGCTAACTCGCTCTATCGTTGCAAAGCTGGTTGACTGTAGATTTAAGCTGTGCATAGAGTGAGCTCTTCAGCGGAGTGTCACTCCACAAACATGGCCTACTTTGTACCGACTCACGTTACATGCCTTTATGCTGTGACGTCACTCGATAGGCTGTGCAAGTATGGCGGAGACGGAAAAATTGTATTACGTCGGTTCATTGTTGACTGTCTACGTATTGAATAGATTCGTATTTTTGTCATATTACTAGCTAGATGTCACGAACTCGCACGGCTGCAATGCTAATGCTCAATGTCTCCACTATTTAGATAGTGAATGTTATTCATATACATATAAACCTTGCTCTTCAACCATTCTTTGCAAAACCACATCAAAATCTCTTGTGTAGTTTCAAAGATTTAAGCTTACATAGGGATAGAGAAAGCGACTATTTTATACTATGCAGTGATTAGTAAAGGATGCTTTATAAGTCAAATGAAAAAAAATACGTGTAGCTATTGCTGTTTATATTGACCAAATTGTGTTACAAAGTTATCAGGTGAAGGCCGTACAGAAACACTATTAAACTGCCTCAGGGAATCTAATTTGCGACAAATAGCGAAAACAGCCCAAGCTCCCATACTAATTCCCCATTTTTATTAACCTTGATTATCCCGGAGTTACCCAAAACGATCCCTAAATCCCTTAGCAGATTCTTATTTCCCAATCTCCAAAATGCGAGGCAATTACTAGCAAATAAAAAGAAATATAAGGTAGAGTAGAAGGTTCTCTAAAACCTTAATAATGTACCCGGTGGGCCGATTGGATTCCCTTCCATAAATTTATTGTTCTCTCTTGGTAAAATATGATAGGGATCCCCAATTAATTGTATGTAACTTAATTAATTACGATTATTAAGCCCTTAGTTAAGAGCTCTTGGCGCGATGCCGTACAAGAAATTATATATGTGCTCATTTTATACGAAGAAATTGAGTTCCTCTGATATATTTATCATAGTTATTTTTATTGTTTGTGTTTATTATACGTTTCTTTTCCACTTTGCCCCACGACGCAGATGAAGATCCTAGAGCCCACTTACGTTTACAAACATACACTTTCACATATATGGAATAATAGTAGGTATATATACTAAAGCCTTTGACTGCCGACAGAAAACTGTTGAAGGCAAATCACCAGAGGTCACCGATGACCCCCATGGCACTGAACGGGATAATTAGGAAATTGATTGCAGTCGTCTATATAGGTATTTGGAGTTTAGGCACCAGCTTCTTACATAAAAGTTGGAATCTAGCAAATATCGGTAAGACACGCGATTTTGCTTTTTCATTTGCGCGTTATATGTCTTTTCTAAGATTATTCAGGCAGTAGTGCCAGAAAGTGAATGAAAACATTGTGAGGAAAAGCGGTAGGTTCCTAGGATAGTTATATTAATCACTAGGTACTCTCGCGCGGCTTCACCTGCTGCTCGGCTCCGTTTAATCGTAGCGTGATGTTTTATAGCCCATAGCACTCAGGAACATTGTAGCTATAGGTTATATATTAATTAAAGAAGTTTTGCAATCCGATCAGCGGTTCTAAAGATTGCCTCCAACATACAAACTTACAAAGGACATGGCCAAAAAAGTACATTCCACGTACACAAACATAATTAATACACTGTAAAATAAAAATAGAAATATGAATTATTACGTAGTTTCATTTTATATATTCTCCAATAAATAAATCATTATTATTTATATCTATTCTTTTGTTTTATTTTATAAATAAATAAATAATTAAAACGCCTAAAGGTTTTTAAAAGCAAATCTTATTTCGTGCCAGTAATCTGACTAAAGCTTTAGTGAAACTATTTTCGTCTTGTGTGTTGTAAATTACGAGTTCTTCGTGTGTTTTATTTATTGCAATTTAATTTAACAATATTCACGAATGTAAACACCAAAAATCATTGATGTACATTGAATTCAATAACTATGCAAACGCCCATACAAAAATTGGTCATGTCCTTTTACCTCTTTATATATAGTATAGATATAGATATAGATATTTCCCAGGGAAGCCAGATAACAAAATATAAGCATGTTAATACGAGTATATATGCATCAAGCAGAACAGTTTCAGAATTTGATTAGCTATAACGTTCCTCGCCCAAATGAAAACCCTTTTGATTTCTACCATTATTTTCACAAGATGTTGTTGTCTAAGCACCCTATTTAATGTAAGTGCCTGATAAACTAATATGACACCTAGAACATACAAAATACGTTCCATATTCAGATGAATCCGGTACATATTGACTATTACGTGAAACAGATCTTTAATGTAGATAAAATGCCCTCATAATATCCCAGTTAATAATAGCCAACTCGAATATTCTCCAGCTATTTTCATCAAAGCCTAAATTTATTCGAATTTTTCATTACAAGGGGCAAATCGAATTCTTTGGGTGAAGGTATCTTTTGTCTTACGCAATTTAGACCTTTCGTAGGCTGTTTTATTATTAGCATGTAAAATAATGTTTTTAAGAGCTACTATAGATGTTTGCTTTCAAATCCCATATTAAAGATACAAAATATTTTCGTGAATCTATATGTCCACTTTTTTTTGTAAAAGGAAAATCATCAAATTACTTCTCCCACCCAGGGCCGTGCGGGAGGGAGTGTCAGACGCTTAATGACTAAAAACCCCCCTGTTCCTTCTCCTGCTCTGAGCCGAGGTCGCGGTACCTCATTGCGCTTACCCCACAACCCCGGCTGAACATCAGCCCTTTAGGGCCCTGTCTGTAGTGGTCTATTGGCTCTTTGAGGCGCGCGCGGAACGCTACGCGCCGTACGCTCGGGTCTGGTTCTGGTCCGGCGGCGAGCTACCCTTACTCGCCGACCGCAAACCCGCGCATGTCCACTAAGTTACTATTACTACTCGATACCTAGTATATTTATTTATGGACAAGCTGTTAATAATTAATTCAAGGACATACAGAATTGGTTCAAGCTTCTTTGTAAACTCATCCTCTCTTTGATATAAAAATGAATCACTTAATTTGTTGTCAAAAGCATTCGAGAACAGTAGTTTGCCTGATATCGTTTATTCATTTTTCATTTAGAAAATTAGAATGGTTACTCGCGAAATAATTAATATATGAGTACAGAAAAGTATTTAGGCATATCCACGTGCGTATCTATGAGCTAAGAACGATCATTAATGCACTTCTCATTAATCCGATTTTTTCGAAACTATGTTGTTAACTCGAGATCAATACGTTTTCATGTTGAGTTATTCATTTGAGGTCGATCGTACCCCTTGACGAAATTATTAATATAGATTTCGATGAAAAAACAAATGACTGACGCCGAGGTATATGTTCGTAGATTTAAGATATATCTTCTTCTTAAATGTTAAATGGATTTTAACTCAATTTTTTCTCCTTTACAGAATCATGTCCCTGGTTCCGCCAGGGGGTGCGGACTCCCCCAGTCCGCGGCGGGCAGTGAGTCCACTGCTGGAGATGCGTAGGCCACACTGCACTCTGGCCTGCGACTATTGCGCTGCCATACTTGAGGACAAGTTCAAACGTAAGTTTTTTGTTTATTATAATTTTAGCTTAATAACCCATTTCATTAAAATATAATTTTGTGTCTGTTTAAGAAATATCCAAACAAAATTCTGGATCTTCTAGTACTTACATGCAATTCAGTTTTCGAATCAAATCATTCATTTCAAATAGTCCATAGGCACTAATAAAAATCAAACTAAAAAAAATATCTCGGAAAGTTTAACTTTGTGTGTGTCAGTCTGTTTTCTAGTGAAGAATGCGATCTACCAATAATGATGTAAGGAAAATATAACAAAAACATTTCTTTTATTAATACAAGTTATATATAGTATGTGATTATAAGAAAAAAATATTCTTTTACCTTAATAAGTCTACATACTGATGTTTTACATATACAAGTGCATAATAAACCATTATAAACGCGGGTAGCATACCACGTTTTCCCCACACATTTTGGTTAAAAAAAACCCTCCATGGAGTTTAGTTACTTTTTCGAGCCGCTTTTGAAATCCACTTTGAAATAGACTCAGGTGCTGGCACCATCAAAACAAAATAAGAAGAAAAAAAGCAGTTTTATTTCGATCGTTGCCAAAACGAATTGGTGTTGCAGCGTAGCTTTTATTTATTTTTTCGATGCGTCGATTTTTTGAAGCCGTATTTTTCCCGAGCCGAGTGATTTTTTTGTGTCAAAGCTATACGTACTTTATTTTAGAAAATATAAAATATATTTCCTATTTTTTAATGTAATTATATTATGCATATTATCCTAATATATTATGAAGTATATTTCACTCTCAAAGAAACAAAATTGTATGTTAATAATAATATCTAAATTGTGTTTATCCATCTCTTTCTTAATGAATCAGTATTACATTATGCACATAGTGGGAGATTAAGGCGTCCGCTCCTCATGCATGAGGTGCGGCTTCGAAACCTGGCAAGTACCAAAGGGACTTTTTCCGTAGGTATAAATATGTACTTTCTATGATTATTTAGACACAACTGACATACGGTGAAGGAACCTAACCTTATAATTTCTAATAACAATTTTGAAATCGCCTATCCATCTTCAGCAAGCGTGGTGTTTAATGCTCAAACCACATCTGGTCAACCACTGGCTGATGCTGTGACGATGTGTGATGTGCATGCGGTGTTTAATTATAATTGTTTGTAACAATGAAAATAATAACTTAGGCTCAGAAAAAAAAGTAGATCTAAATAAACAATTTTTTTTATATAAACCGAAAATGTCACAAGGGTTCGAAATCCTTTTATTCGATAACAATTTTGGACCATTTTATTATTTTATGGATTCAAACAGCTATTTAAAAATAGGTTTACTTAAAGACATATTATTATGTGGCCAGAGAATGAGCAATCATGTATGTAATGCGTTGCTTTGGACGTCTGTTAAATTACCATATAAATGGCTTCATCTTGCTCTAACTTACTAAGGAGGAATCTTCGAGAATGTTCTAGACCATTGAGATACTCATTACTTTTCATGGCTTGTAAGTTACATACCATTTATTGCTATTACTAGTAATTAAGGATTTGCGTTTGCAATCTGATAAAGTACTACTGCCCCGGAAGGGGAGAAAGAACAGGGTGGTTATCGGTCACTTAGACTTACCCCACCTAGTGCCGGAGGAGCCACTGAATCATTTTTGCACATCAAAAAAGCAGTTGAGAATAAATTTATGGCACAGTCAGTAGATTAATAAAAAATAAAGCACTGTAGAATATAGCTCTGTATAATTATATAATCTGAAGTGTGGTTCAGGTGCCTAACATTAGCCTCTATTTCGATAGCAAGAGGGACTAGATTAATAACTTAAATTGGAAACGATAAATTGTAGCAAATGACGAATACGTTTACATTTTTCTTTGTTACAATTAAATTTTGGAACGAGCAATTACGAATAGACTGACGATCTATATTATTATAATATGACGTTTTAAAGGTACTTGTGGTAAATACCGTATTTTATTTAAATAAATGTCTTGACTTTTGGAGTACTCGCACGATAAGCTAAAAACGGTTTACTTCTTCATGTGTACGAGTATAAAGCTATCATTATTTCTTTGTTTCTAATAACGGTTTTCTGCTTCTCAGGCAGCGCCGACATGCGCAACAGAGGAACTTCACCTCTATCAGCCTCACCACGGCAGTCCCTCACGGGGGAACCTCCCTGGACACTCCCGGATGATGACCGACCTGATTTCTCAGCACTCAAGGAAAATATACAAAGGATTAACAAGTAAGTTTTAGATGTAATACATACTGTACAAGTTAATGGGCAAGTAATGGAGTTCATGTTAGGGTTTTATTTTGAATGACTAATATTTGCAAAGACATTAATGAAAAAAACTGCTCAAGGGTCTTATAGAAATACATACGTTTCTATAGTTTATAGATTGAAAACTTATTTTGTAAATTTCTCTAAAATTAAAATTATTACCTTGCAAAAATAGTGATCGGGTTATAATCAGGAACCCGAGCCCTACAAGATTTGACACTTTTTATACCCCAAGTCCTGTGGCGCCTAGCTAAAGTCGAGCCTCTTTAGACAGCGAGAAAAGGTAACTTGCACCCGACTAGGTTCAGAGAGGTTCAGAGACTAGGTTGAGACTTGCTTACGGCGCGTAACTTTCCACGCAAATCTCAAAGAATCAACAGACCCCTACAGATGGGGCACAATGGGGCTGATGATGGAGGCCCAATCTTACCCTCCCCCAATCCCTCCTGAATCCATAAATCTCCAAATCACTAATCCCCAAAATGTCGGCAACGCACTCGTACTCTATTGTTGCGGGTGTCCATAGGCGGCGCTGATTGCTTACCATCAAGTAATCCGTCTGCTCGTTTGCCGATCAATGAAAAATGTTCAGCCGGGGTAAGAGCAATAATGAACCGCGAGCTCAGTCCAGAACAGAAGAAGAAACGGGAACTTTTAGTTCGTAAGAGTCTGATTCTTCCCTTGGCCCTTACCAGAGCGAGAGACCCTACAAAAATTCCCTTATTACTTAGGACAAGAAAATTATCAAAAACTTCATGTTAAATTGAACGAGTATGTGTGTTAAGCCCTTTGGGAAAAAACTGAAATGATACACTACGTCTAGACTACTATACATATAACTATCCAGTTACTCCTCTGTGGCAGCATGTAGCTCCATAATATGGTTAAGATACTTACATATTTGATGACGTAGCATATATATTATGCAAGATATTTGAACGTCACTTAGACAGTGAATTTTGTTTGTTAAATGGACTTGTCATCTAAGAACTTAGATAGTTTCGATTTTATAATGAAAGAAAATATTGTTTACAGTTCTTACAATCTTAGAATCAAGGCAATTTTTGGGTGTCTCGGAAACGTTATAGATTTTAACTGTTAATATAACAGTTGACATGTAAACTCGTGTTGACGTATATTTCATCATCATCATCATCGTCAGCCTATAAGTGCCCACTGCTGAGCAAAGGCCTCTTCTCACAAGGAGAAGGTTTGAGCATTAATCACCACGCTTGCTCAATGCGGGTTGGCGATTTCAAACTTACAATTAGAAATTACAAGTCCAGGTTTCCTCACGATGTTTACCTTCACCGTATGTCAGTGGTGTCTAAATAATCATACATATAACTCGGAACATTGGTCACATTGGTACTTGCCAGGTTTCGAACCCACACCCTCATGCATGAGAAGCGGGCTCCTTAACCTCCGGGCCACCGCGACCTCGTGACGTATATTTGCTACTGTCAAAATAACATGACAGAATAATGTTTAAAGTATCATTTATAATAATTATTCTTATTCGTAAAATTCGTGAATTTTACGCCAAAAACTACCACTAACTAGCACTAAGTTGGTAAACACAAGTATATCAAACTTGTGTTTACCAACTTAGTGCTAGTTAAATTTTACATTCTTAGGGAAAAATACGTATCTATTGTATAAAGTGAAAAGCAATGTGAAGATACGACAATAAGCTTAAACTGATATTAGAAGCGCATAATACCGCTCCGGGGAGGCTCAAGGCGTTGATTGAATTGCCTCTCGGTCGCTGATTGGCTGCACTTGTGCTGCAGATGCGGCACCCCCGACGGGCTTAACGTTACGTAACAATACTTCAATATAATAGCTTTTAATCCCAAGGATTCAAGTGTGGGAAAGCCACGTTTCGGCATGAATGCGTCGGTTTGATTGTGATACCACGATCTCACAGAAAACTAGCGTAAAACAATGTGTATGTTGTGTTTTGCCGTGTGAGTTAGTTTAATGGAGACTAAATTCTTCGCTTCCCCTCATCCTCAATCTCCAAATCCCCTAACAGCAATATCCTGATTCATAAAGGTTGGCAACGCACTTGTAGTAACTCCTTTGGTTTTTCGAGTGTCCATGGACGGTGCCGATTGCTTGCAAAGAGGTATTCCGTCTGCTCGTTTGCTTAAAAATATGATGCAAATGGATCTTCAAAGATGTATGCTTGCAAAAATATTCAGAAATTTAATGAAAATTAAGAAATACATATTAACTGTCCATTATATAAATAATACGGCTAGAAAAATGGTCGAGTCGGAGGGTATAATACCAATATTTATGACCCACTTCCAAATGTGGTATGTCCCTAAGGTATTATTACAAGGGAATTTGTCAAGACATAGTAAGCGGTATTGAACAGTAAATAACAGTTTCATAGTAAAGGCCCACTGAAGGATCCTTTGGGAATGATCCTTATTAGTTATAGTAAAATAGACTGTAAGCCATTCTTAATAAGGCAATCAAGCTATTTTAATAATTAAAGTTAGAAATGTTCTATTTTCTAATGATGATATATCGTGTTAAGGCGCCTGCTTCTCATGCATGTGTCGGGACCTAGTAAATACCAATGTAACCTTTTCCGAGTTATATGTACTTTTTATGATTACTTAGACTCCACTAGCTTATGGTGAAGGAATTTATAAGTCCAAGTTTCAAGAAACTTGGACTTATAAATTTCTAATTATGAGTTTGAAATTGCCAATCCGCCTAGAGCAAACGTACCGATTAATGTTAAAAATTCTCCACATGGAAAGAGGTCTTTGTTCAGCAGTTGGCATTTATAGGCTGGTGATGATGATGATGGTGATGATTCAAATGCTAAGTATATTTTATAATGTTATGTTAGGCATGCTGCTGAATGTGACAATACTATGACTAATATTTAGGTACAGAGTGACTGAGCCGACCTGTACACCACATTAGGAATCTGTTCACTTGTGACCTTTTTCCTCCTTATTTCTCCTGATTTTATTTTGAAATTTATAACATCGTCTTTTATGTATAGTTTTAATGAACATATCATGATAAAGGACAGTATGTCACAGCAACAAAAGTCACGGTTACAAAAAGTCGCAATCAGTGGCGGACCTAAAAGACATTTCGTACGTATGTACGAAAGAATGAAGACCGAATTAATGGAAATATAATTATTTTTAGCTCAGACAGCTTTTAGCATTTGTTTTACGTGAGTTATAAAGAGATATATAGATTTAATAGCTGACCCGGCAAATGTTGTTTTGCTATACAAATTATTAAAAAAAATGATAAGGATGGTTGTTAATCCTTAACATTATCATTAAGGGGTATGAAAGCCAGTAGCAGATTCTTAGACCTTTTAAATATTTATACAAAATTTGGTAAAAATCAGTTAAGCCGTTTCGAAGAAGTAATGAAACTAAATTTTTTTCAATGGCGATAGTAAAGGCTGTTCAATGGCGAATGGTTCAAGTGATGAAGTAATGCAGAAATTAGACATATCCATTAGATAACGTGAATTTTTATGACACTAAGTTCACTTATGACACATCAGTCCCAAAACCATACATCTGAGTCAATAAAGTTCCCAAGTAAAAGTTTTAATTATGAACTGATAGTCTTGTTCTGTTAACCAGGGATTGTGAGACCTCGACACGTTTGGACATGCTGTTGACACAAGTGGAGCAGTACGCAAATAACCTGGAGGCGCTGGTAGAGGAGAGGACTTCTGACTATCTGGAGGAAAAGAGGAAATGCGAGGAACTACTGTATCAGCTTCTACCAAAGTAAGTTTTGTTGTATTATGATGTTCTTAAAGCTTTTCAAAAGGAATTCATACCAGAAAAGGGGGAAATAAATTGCAACTCTATTTAAGGAGTTGTAGGATAATATTAAATGGAAATGATCCAAACAAATATTACAAGTTCGAAAGTAACTCTGTCTGTCTGTCTTTTCTTCACACCTAAACTACTGAACCGTTCTGTGAAATTTGGTACAGACATGGTTTGAAACTGGAGAAAGGACATTGGATAGTTTTTATACCTAAAATCTGCAGAAAGTCACTATTCCACGCGAACGAAATCGCGGGCAAAAGCTAGTTAGTTTATGATTATATTATTATGCTTCACAAATATTGTAAGACCTTGTAAGGAAAGTTTTCATGACTATCATTGATCTGATTTTGATGTTAAACCTAAGTTCAAATATTGATAAATTAAGGATATCGATTATGTAATCAATAAGCATATACATTATAGTATAGGCTATAATTATATTTGAGGATGCAATCATAATAATGAACTGTGACCAAGCCCGAAGTAGAAGAAAGAGCAGGGAGGATTTTAGTCAGTAAGATTCTGTTATTCCTCTCGTCAGGGCGAGAGAAGTAGTTTGAAGATTTTCAAACTTAAATAAATGCTTACAGAGCTTAAATCATCTTAACATTACCAGAGCCACACCACGGGCAAGTTGTAACAAACATATGTATAAATTATAAGTGATATAAGTTCCTCAATTTAATGCCTTTTCAATATATGAAAAACTATATAGCGCTGCCTTTTTTCACGCATGAGTGACGCAATTGCAGTGCTTTTTAGTGTAATTCAGTTGCTTTTCTTTTTTTTATGTTAATTGTTTTTTTGTCCCTATTTTGCTATATTCGTGTGTTTGTTTCTTGCGTCATTTGTGTGTGAAATAAATGGTTTTTCTTTCTTTCTTTTTTTCTTTCTATCACGCAAAAGTAATTAACACAAGCTACCAAAGCTTTGATCAATCGGTCAGAAATAACTATAGTGACGGTAGTAAGTACAAGTAGTTAATGGAGGTTGTAGCTAGTTAATCAGATTGTTAATTACCAACAGATTAGTACTCTAAGCCCTTGGGTGCTATAATTTATTGATCCATCGTGTAGTATGTCACTAAGTTGAGTTCAATGACGATATGGGAGAATGCACTCACTACAGTAACGTGACAATACGGTAAGATAAGATATTTTATCTCGCGAATTTGGGTTCAGTACATGGTGTAAAAATACTAAAAATATAAATCAAGTTCAGCCACATTTTACCATTAGGCATACAAAAGATAGGAGACCAACAACAAACAGAAATATTACAGACACACACACTAATTAGATTTTTTTTCTTCATTCTTCATAGATAAGCACGCTCATGACAAAACAATTAAAGAAATGCATTTTCTATTGATATTAAAAGAACATATAGCTCAGCATTAATGCGAATTAAAATCGTAGACAAAATTTCAACACAATCAGTGGAAAACGTCCACTTCCTTGTATTTTTGACTGCACGGTTGGTGCGGTGGCTGGGCAACTGGCAACTAGCGTGCAACGTGTTGCGGGTTCGATTCCCGGACGGAACAACTCTTTGTGTGATCCACAAATTGTTGTTCCGGGTCTGGGTGTCATGTGTATGTGAAATTGTATGTTTGTAACCGCACCCACGTCACAGGAGAAATACATAATGTGGGGCAACTTTTTTTCTAAAAAATAAATAAAAAAATAAAATAAAAATAAAAACTTCAAATTTTAATTACAAGATTCCACTAAAACACACTACATACGTTCGCTCCAAGCTAAATAAAAGTTTATAAAAATTTATATCCAGATGTCCTTATCTGTGTAAAATGCAAGTGCAATTTCCTTTCATATTACTCCTTGCATTGTAACAATGCAACACTTCTGGAATATTCGATATCTCCAGGGTATGCGGTCAGCTGTTAGTTCAATTGTATTCCCGTGCTAGTGTCGGTTGTCCTGTAACACCAATTAGTGGTCGTATCGATTTCTAGTGTAAAACCGACCAACTCAGTTATGGAATATTGTGTATCGGTTTGAGAAATTCTGTGGGGCTGTGTTGGATCAAAATATTTGCTTTGGTAAAGGTTTTGGCGCTTAATATAGTTTCAAATGTTTGTCGGCGTTGGCGTTGTTTATTGATTCCTATTTTATTAGAAAGTATATTTCAATTTTTGAAGTTTTCTACGTGTTACAAGTTACAACTCTTATTCACTAGTAGAGCTTTTCTCATTTAATTCGCGTACATTCAATATTTCGTTATTTTCAATAAATTTTATATTTTATATTTTGATTTCAAAATCTACGGTGAAGAGATTGTTGACGTTTTAGGACATCGTTATTTCATAGTTAGAAAAGAAGAAAGGAGGAGTAGAAATAGTATTAGGCACAATAGTGGGGTTTTCCTAACGAAATGTGATAAATATTCTAGCCGTATTATCCAAAGCCTTTGAAGATGAGATTGATGATATTTTTTACTTGGCATAAAAAGAGTATCCATTCTCAAACGGACAAATTATAATCATACATCATAATCGTTCTTGTAATTATTAATTTATCGTAAAACCATAATCACGGCTGGCATAATCACCAGCCGGGGTTGCGGGGCAAGCAATAAGATACCACGGCCTTGCCCTAGAGCAGGAGAAGGAACTGGAGTTTTTAGTCAGTAAGAGTCTGACATTCACTCTTGCCTTACCGTGGGCGAGAGAAGTCTTATGTTGGTTTTTTATCCTCTAAGAAAACCATGATCTTGGCTTAATAAGTATCTTCTGATTCTCTTCTTAGGTCAGTAGCCTCCCAGCTGATAATGGGCCAGCCTGTCATGGCAGAGACCTATGACCAAGTGACGATCTACTTCAGTGACATCATTGGTTTCACCCAGCTGTCGGCAGAGTCCACGCCCCTGGAGGTAGTAGACTTGCTCAATGATCTGTACACAAGCTTCGACTCCATCATTGAAAATTTTGATGTATACAAGGTAAGATACCATAATATAACTTCCTTTTCTAATGTATAGGCCGGTAAACTATCAGACAGACCACCTGACGGTAAGCAACCATCCTTGCTGATGGAAACTGGGAATAAAGAGTCTAAAATGCGATAAAGGTTTTTAAGGAATGGGAAAAAATGGGGATTGGTAATTTGGAGATATCTGGATATAGATGAGGGAGATAGAGATTGGGTTTCCGGTAATGTCACTCACATGCAAAACACAATGCAGTAGTGTTTACCGCCAGTTTTCTGCGAACCATGGTATCACTAAGGTCGAAACGACCGCAAATAGCTTTACTAAGAGAACTGACCAACAGACTGTCATTTTCTTATCTTTAATCATTGCTTGACGTTCAATAGTATATGTTCTAATTGAAATACATGATTTAACTTCTATATCTATATACTGATCAAACTATCAAAAGAATCGTATCGTAGCTTTTGAAATCCTAGAGTAGGATAACATTTTAAATGAAAAAAGATCAATTCTTCAAAACTGCAAGGCAATTATGACGAGGTAGGTTTATAGCCAAATTTAAAATCTCGAAGAAAGATACTATTTATCCCGACTAACAGAGTAATATATCAGCTTGAAAATAAAGCTGATAAAACAAACGATGTAAAATGCTCGTTTCCGTTCCATCACTCGCTCGTGGTTTTGTTGCCTTGTGCTACAAAAGTGGGACACAGTGATGTATCGCGCGCATTATGAATAGGTATCGTTCATCGCTGTTTACTATAATAGATTCAGTGGCGCGCTCAATATTCTATCTTTCAAAATAAAGGAAGCTCTCTTTGATAGCATGGTCCCTCATAGAGCATAGAGTATTGAATGAACTTAAAACCTTTAAGGAAACACGTTATTCCTGCTTCAAATGTCTCAGGGGTATCAGGTTGTGGATTTCGCTGATTACTTACCACTAGGTCTTAGCATGGACGATTGACATACCTCCGTCAAAAAAATTTTTAGAATTTAATCTGTGGGGATATAATGATATCCTATTGCAAGGCAGCCGGTTACCCAACCACTGTGTCAACTTTGCAGTCTAATTATAAGACCGTACCGACCTTTCGATAAATTTTCCGATGGAATTTGTGAATGAGAATATTTCAGATTATTACTGAGTCTTTTAATGGCATGAGATGCTAAACGTGCAAATCACTTGATGGTTAGCGTTCGGTGCCACTCATGGGCATCACCAACATCCAATAGACTACCACAGATGGAGCCCAGAGACATAGGGCTGATGTTCAGCCGGGGTTGCGGGGTAAGCGCAATGAGGCACCGCGACCTCGGCCTAGAGCAGGAGAAGGAACAGGGGGGTTTTTAGCCAGTAAAAGTGTGTCACTAACTTGTCATATGATGATTATCCCCTCACAAATAGAAAAAAATGGTCATTTCCAACATCAGATGAGTTGTAAGCTTTGTAAGATTTGAGGATTTGTGGACAAGAGACTGTAGGGGGAGATTGGGCTTTCATTCATTATTATATTCAGTATCATAGAGACGATTTTATGTTTTTGTTCAGAAATTACTGCCAAACCAGAACTGTCAACAATAAGACAATTTACCAATGAATTATTAATTACTGACCTGTTTTACTTCATACTGAACCGTCATGCAATATTAATTATTGTCCATTGTGCTTGAAGATGGTATTTGTAACTAATTTATAGAATGATATTTTAGAGACCTTAACACTTTGACATTTAAGCCCTGGAAACGAAGGGTCATAATATAATTATAGGGACAAATTGTTTAGATATAATTTATTGGCAACTATTTTTCGCTCGCATGGTTGTTGATAAAAAAGCTTAAGTGTTAATCCAGTATCGCCTATCTACATACCACATTTCAAACAAAACGGTTCAGCCGTTTTCGCCTGAAAGAATAACAAACTAAACATAATGAAATATTGATCTTCAGCCTATAAGTACCCACTGCTAATACAAATGACTGTTCTTACAACGAGAATGTGTGAGCACTAATCATCCGGCTTGCTCAAGGTCGATTGTCAAATTAAAACTTACAATTATAAATTATAAGTCCAGTTTTACTAAAGATGTTTTCCTTCGTCGTATTTCGACGGAGTCTAAATAATATAACAGGCATATCGGTACTTACCAGATTTCAGACCTGCACGCTCATGCACAAGAAGCGGTCTAAGCCCAGCCACTAATTTGTCCATAAATTTATTCAAAGTCACTCTTATGATACTCAATCCCTGAAGGAGCAGATCGTAAGTCAATTATAGATTATGTTCTACATAACATATCATTATTACATCCTTTAATATCTCAAAGAGACAGACAGAGGTGCATAAATGCGATGTGACATTAATCCTTTACCAGTTAAAAGATATACAAGTATTCTAAAGTCTGTGCTATAATTGTAGAGAGAGGCTCCACCGGAGTGATACCACAGCCTCACAGAAAACCGGCGTGAAATAACCACAGCGTTGTGTTTTGCTGTGTGAGTTAGGGAACCGGTGAGCTAATCCTTCTCATCCCCCAATCCCTAAATCTCTAAATCCCTATGTCTCAAAAAGTCGAAAACGCACTAGTAACTTCTCCGATGTTGCGGGTGTCCATAGGTGGCGCTGATCGCTTACCATCAGATAATCCGTCTGCTCGTTTGCCATCTTATCACATGGAACCCCCAATATTATTTTACCGACTTATATAGGTATATTAAATACAAGCTTGGCAGTCAAGGTGGTCACGAGCACGAGTCGCCTAGTGCATTAATTATTTCAGTATGCAGTCATAGTTACGACTGCACTGTTGGATGCCTGGGCAGCCATCCAAATCCATAAATTGTTCCGGGTTTAGGTGTACTGTATGTATATGTAAAATTATATTACTGAAAATGCACCAAAAATACTGAAGAAAATTCTAGAGTAGGATAAAGTTAAAAAAACGTTTAATTGCAATTGGAATTTTACCGAAAATTTGTTTTTTATCTCTAAATTTAATAATACGAAAAGTGCTAACATTGATTATATTAAATGCAAATGGCAGGAAATAATAACACTGTCCCATAAAATGTCAGCCTCATTAGCATCCGTGTTTTGTATTCTGATATAAAATAAATACAATAACTGAATCCAGTAATAACAATATTATTGAATCTATGTTCTACGTTTCCATTATTGTTTTTGTATAAATTTAAACTTAAAAAACCTTATTGTAACAAACATATTATCAAGAGGATCACTAAGTCCCAGAAATTTTCAGTTCGTGGGTTGGTTGAAACAAAAGATTTTTTGTGTGATTCACAATCGTTTCCCCTAGGACTTTCTCCTGTGTCGTGACGACACAATGAGTCCCGGGACTTAAAAGAATTGTTTTTAATTTACAGTAAATCTAACAACTCAATGTAAAATTTTAACTTAATCAGTTCAAAATATCTGCTTCAAAATTGACTTGCAAGTTTCCACTCCGCAAACATATATATCATATAAATTCATATATGCACATAAAGCAGGTTAAATAAGAGCTTGTAATTAATAAAGCGCAATCAATTTTATTGTGCTCCAATAACTTAATACATTCAATTCACTGCAAAGCTTTAATTAATATGAGTCAGGTGGCCGTAAAAGGTACTATCGATGAGAGTCGGCATTCGTAAATATATTTATTTCGACTTACTTGCTAAAAAGAGATTTAGGTTAGTGTAAAATAATATGATAAGATTTATGTTCGATACAATTTTAAAATTATTGCGATGTAGCAATTTATCTATACATATAAGTCGTGTAGTATGTCAGTTATATAATAAAAAAATATTACGCTCCATTTTTTTTACTCGACTGGTTTCAAGACAAGCCAGGAGCTCATATTAATTCAGTTAATTGTGGGACGTTTGTCGCGCAACGCTTCTCATAAATATGAGCCCTTATCGCGACATGAAACTAGCTGAGTCATGTCGCCAAGCAGTTTCGTGGGCAAGACTTAAACTATTATTTATTAACAATAACACTACTGTAGGTTAAGGCACCAACTTCTCAAGCATAAGGGAGTTCGAAACTTAAACGAAGCAATAATGCGTTTTTTTGTGAGGGGAAAATAATCAAATGATTTCTCCCGCCCAGGGCCGGGCGGGAGGCGGGAGGGAGTGTCAGACTCTTTCTGACTAAAAACCCCCCTGTTCTTTCTCCTGCTCTGAGCCGAGGTCGCAGTGCCTTATTGCGCTTACCCCGCAACCCTGGCTAAGCAATAATGCATTAATGTGTCCTTTTTAGAGCAGAGCAATATGGTTAAAGAAAACATCGTTTCAAAACCTGCACTTATAATTTCTAATTATACGTTTTAAACTACAATACGTCTTGAGTAAGCGTGGTGATTAATTCTCCATGTGAAAAGAGGCCTTGTGGCAAATATACCTACGCTGGCGATGTGATGTTATGCGAAGAGTTCTGAACTAATAAGACCTCTTTTCTGTTAGGCTTTGAAATTATCTGAACACGTGGTAGTCTGTTTGAAAATTGACGTTTTTCGAAGTAACAAAACATAGGTAGATAATCTTTTTAACAATCCTGTTTATGATCCCCTAGGTAGAGACAATAGGGGACGCGTACATGGTGGTGTCCGGCCTACCGATGCGCAATGGCAACCGGCATGCAGCTGAGATCGCGCGCATGTCCCTTGCTCTACTGAACGCTGTGCGCGTCAAGACTGTACCACATCGGCCTGGAGAACGACTGTTACTGAGGATTGGAATGCATACAGGTGAGCTATAGCTTTTTTTCCAGACCTGGATGAGGCGAGAAGGAATGTCAAATTCTAACTAATTAAAAACCACCTGCATTTCATTCTTCACTTCTGTCAGCGATGATAATTTTGATATGGCACTACTGTGCAACGAACTAGAATTTTCTTTTTTGCGAGCCATAATTTTTTGGTACCATTGGCCAACACTAAAACCTCGCAATCTGCCATGTATACACATTACACCTAGACCGGGAACAATTATTTATTCACAATAATGGAACCCTCAAAACACAACGCTGTGGTAGTTTCGCGCCGGTTTTTTTTTTGAGGCCGTTGTATTATTTCAGTCGAGTCGACCAATGCGTGCCATGTGGACGGATATTTACGATAAATGCGAAAGAATTTTTTTTGCGTTGCCTCACACTAGAATTTTCTCTTGTGTTGTGGGTGCGTCAACAAACATACACATCACACCCAGACCCGGAACAACAATATATGGATCACACAAAGAGTTGTTCCGAGCGGGAATCGAACCCACGACACGTTGCGCGGCAGCCAGTTGCCCAGTCACCGTGCTAACAGTGCAGTCAAATTCTCACAAAAATCTAACATCAGCAAAAGTACTCATACGAAACCTGGCAAAGAAAGTCTCATTGCAAAAAATAGACAAACAAAGCAACGTGACTGTTCAAGTGACATCAAAACAAATGACAACGAGAGAGAGTATATCATTCGAACCGAACATTGGCGACCTTGAACAATTCTAGAACTATAACAGTTAAGTAGGTAGGTACCTATATATGTATTTATTTATTTATTTATTTATTTAAAAATAAGCACACCAACAATACAATCACCCAATGTTATACAAAAAACACAATAATCAAATAATTGGATGCACAAGCAATTGTACAAATTACAGGTGTGCATGACATTGAAAATGAAAGGTTTTTGAGACTTATATAACTAAGCTAATAATTAAACAAAAAAAAAAAAAAACAAAAAACGTGTTAAAGCAATAACGATGGGCACTGTTCACATAGTTTAAGTAGGGAGCGTCTGTATGATGCGAAGTTCATGGAGAAAATATCGATAGGATAATCTGTCATAATGGCCCTTTCATTATATAATCTTGCCATACGAGTTAGAGGGCTATTAAATGTGGTATTTAAAGTAGATATAGGGATTTCAAAAACACGATGATATCGCTTACTACGACGGTCAAGCCGGAACTTTAAACCTTCTATCAATTGAGCATCAATATATACCCTATATCAAAATCAATTTGAAACACATTAGTTAGTACTCAAGCCGTCGAGTATTGAGAAAGACAGATGTATCAATAATTCATTCGTATACACCACCCACGAACACATATACATATGTGCAATCGCCAGCAGGTTCACCTACACCTTTCTATCAATCCCTTATACTACACTTTCAACTTTATCGCTTCGATATGAAGTCGAGAATCCAATGAAAACGATTGGAGTAGGTTTATCTGCTAGGTTTAACTAGTAAAGTTATGGGAACACCCACACTAGAATAACGCCCACGATTTAACATCGATTAATTGTATAAAGTTAAGTGTGATGTAGGATAACTGCGTTTCATGGTTCAATTCCAGTGTGTTAAATATAGCTGGTTTTAGTTCGATAAATTAATCCACTACTTTCATAACGACATGGTGGTTAAGGCACCCGCTTTTCATAATATATGAGGGTGGTTTGTAACCTGCCAAGTACCAATTACTAAAATAAAAAAAAGTGTGAGCACTTTGTAAATGTTAACTTTAATATCTTGATTTGAAATGAAATGAATGTGCTTGAAAAATATTGTGTATTTACGTGTACATTCTGTTCTGCCCTATCCTCTAAAGTAAGCTTGATGTTATATATTATGTAGTATACATTGTCTGTGTAAATAAAACATTATTTTCTTTGAGCGCTAGGTCCAGACATCGTCCATGAATCTTCCTGTCAACTTTCTGCTCAAGGCATATCAATTACGAAGTATAATATAACAACTATGTAGCTATAAAATATTATAGTACGGAATATGTTTATTGTGTACTTTTTTTTTTTTTTTTTTTTTTTTTTTTATTTATTTATTTATTATTTTATAGAATGACTAGCGGCTCGCCCCTGCTTTGTACGGATCTCCAACTATCTCGCTTATGACGAACGGGTCCTTTTTCCCAACTCGTGCCTCTACTTTTCTATATGTAACAAACATAACATTTAAATTGTTGAGAATAGTAAATAATTATTATCTTAATAGATGTTTCTTAAGCATATGTGGTGCGATCTCCAGCTAGGCTCCAGTGTTAAATTGTACACATTATGATTGTTGGCAATTTTTTTTTTTTTTGTTCTTGGAGAAGGCTTACGGACTAATCACAATATTATAAGTAACATATTACAAAAACTTAAATTGCCAATAACAAGCCTCCACAGATAATTTCAACCTTTCGATATTTACAAGTTTAATACAGTCTTTATACCCTAGGTACCTTCAGTTTGAGTGTTATTGCTAGCCAATTACATATATCACAAATTTAGTTAAAATTTAAATAATTATTCGCAAAAAAATAATTTTGCCAAACGTACCCGATGATCTATACGGTCAAAGCACTTACTATAATCGGTATAAATCACGTCGACCTGTGCGTGTTCTTCCATACCTGATGTTATGTATTCATGTGATAATATAAGATTAGTTGTCGTTGAACGCTTTTTAAGAAAGCCATGCTGTTCATCTCCAAAGTTAAATTGAAGTGCCGGGTAAATGTCATTATATACTAATCGCTCCAGTATTTTTGAGAATAAACATATTTTGGATATATATTTTTAATATCTGATTTATCACCTTTCTTAAAGACTGGAGTGACAAATGCCGACTTCCAAATTTTTGGCACATACCCCTCACTTAAAGAACGTCTAAATAAAATACATAAAGGCTCCACTACGCTATCAGCACAATTAACTATAAAGATGGGTGGTATAAGGTCCGGGCCACCTGATTTGGAGAGGTCTAATGTCTTTAACAATTTTAGCACATGTGACTTATCTACCTCAATATTACACATAGACATAGTCCCATCCCCACGGCAAGTACTGTTAAAAGAAATGTTTGGATCTGGTTCTTGGAATGTGGAATAAAAATAATTAGCAAACAAGTTGCTAATCTCCTCACCAGAATGCGCTGTTATGTCGTTATACTGCATTACATTGGGTAACGTGCCAGTTTTCCTCCTACTCTTAACATACGACCAGAAAGCTTTAGGATTTTTTATTATGGATGATTCAATTTTATCTATATAAATGTTGAAACATTTTTTATCCATATCCTTTGCCCTAGTACGTAATATAGAAAATGAGTGATAATCGGATAAGTTGCTGTATTTTTTATATTTTTGATGATATTTATATTTTTCTTTTAGAATTTTAATTAAGGCCGAGTTATACCAAGGAGGATAAGTGGAAAACTTTGTTGATTTCAATGGTATGTGCTTATCTCTTACTTCATATAATTTATTGTAAAAATTTGCTACGGCGTCCTCAATTGACGTATAATCTTTATGCAGCAATGGGATCCAGTTTACATTGTTAAGTTCGGACGCAATGGCTGAGTAGTCACCGATGGAGTAATGATACCGATTAGTTATATTGTAGTCTAACTTATGAATTTCTACGAACTCGGCAAGAATAAGTAGCGGTTTGTGATGTGAATCAATGGGGATATCTAATGGGTGAGTATTTTCAGTAACACGCACGATATCATTAGAAAAAACGAGGTCTAAAAGTCTGTCATTAACGTTGCGTTGACCGTTATACTGCGATAAACCATAAGTTTGAACAGTGTCAAAGAATTTTATGATATGCTCACCTGAACTATTCAGTGGTAATAACTTCGCACTATTAGTCGAACTTTGACACCAATCTACATTTTTTCCAAAATTAAAATCACCCAAAATTACAAACTTATCCAATGGATGAGTTAGCAATAAATTATTGAGTTTATTTGTGTAATTAGATAACTGAATGTTGTACGAATTACCTGTATTTTCACTGCAAAGGTACAGCCCGCATAAATGTAAACTATAGGTCACTTGAGGTCTAGATCGTTTTAGTCTAAGGGACACCCAGATATCTTCAGCAGTGCTACACCAGCATTTTTTTCCAATTGCCGTTATTTCACTTTTGACCGCAATCAATACACCACCACCTCGCTTTTGCGCGGTACGAGAATAATCGCGATCACGCCGCCAAACAAGATAGCGATTGTCAAATAATTCACTGCTATAAATACTTTCATCTAACCATGTTTCGGTTAAAACTATAACATCATACGACTTAGAACAAACACTACGAAAGAAATCAACCGTCTTCGTACGCAGTCCACGCACATTTTGATAGTAAATATTAAGTGGAGCCATTCCAAAGATGAACTATAACGAAATTATTTACATATTTATAATACACAATCGAAGTTACGTAGTATTTTAAAAGGCACAGCAAAATTACTTTATTTAATTCATAATCTATACTATAATAATTAAGAATGCAGGTAGAAATAAGTATTCGAATAGAAGAGATAAGAAGGCACAGCAATACACAGTAAACCACAAATGAGTATTTTGAGTGTAGCTTTTGAATAGAAACAAAAGGCGATAACCGGTAGCAAGTCGACGGTGACCAGTAACATTTAGTAATAAGTGTTAATGAGCGGTGTGGGAAAAAGGACTTTATTGTGAACGCATTTACGCTGATAATGTAATGGGCCAGATTCATATTAAATAAATTGAAGTTTAGAATATTGCATTTACGCACTGTGACACTGCGCAGCGTCAATAGGAAAACACGATTAGCACTCCGCGGGAAGTGATTCTCAAACTGAAGATAATAAACAAGTAATGAATGCAAATTAAACAATAAAAATAAGTGAATGTTATGTAAATATATGAAAATTATACTATTTTTGTTAGATCCTTTTCTGATTTGATCAAGATCACTGGGGTGGTGTCCGATTTTCTTACGTGGATCTTTGCGTGTTTGACCCACACATACTGAAAATTCATTTCTGCCGCCGTCTTCTTTGCTTTTGACAAAAGATTTTTGTTTTTTGGAGTAAGGTGGTCATTTATAAAGATTCTTTGATTACCGGACAGCCCTAATTGACTGACCGTGAGTGGCGATGTCTTCAGCTCATATCGGGCCGCAGCTATGAAGTCTTCTTTTATATATCTGTTACAGAATCCAACTATTATAGGTTTGAAGTGTTCTTTTTGCTGAGATGGAACTCTAGATATAAAGTTAATTAGGTTTTTAGATACCGGATAATTAATCCTAGCTCCGATCTTGGCAACAATATCAATAAGGTTTTCATTGTTAGACTGTGGAACTCCCTTTAACTCGATGTTGTTCATGCGAAGCCACTGTTCATTCCTATTCGAACCTTCCTCTAGTTGATCTATTCGTTCCTGGAGTTGATCAACTTGACATTGGACTTTTTCCATTAAAACAATTCGCTGCTCCAATTCATTAATTTTCGATCTGACGACGTCGGAGAATTGAGTATTCATAGAAGATTTAAAGTCCAGAAATTCTTTTTTTAAGGCTAAAACCTCCTCTTTTAGTCCTTCTAATGGTGCAAATTTTGCCGACAGGGCACGTATCTCAGTCAGGACAGCTTCGGTGCCCGTGAGGTCCGATTCTGAGTCAGGTCTAGGAGAGTTTGGTGGATGTGCAGTCTCTGTTGGTTTGCACTTCACGCAACGCCAATTAAGTTTTTTGTCCTTGGAGAGCCTCTGGTAGCCAGACTTGGTGACTCCTGCACATTGGTAATGAAACCATTGCTCACATGTTGCGCAATGAGCACCTTCCGATAAATTTTCACTGCACACACCACACTTTTCCATTTTGTAATGTAATGGCTGAATAGCTTATTCGAAGGGAGAACAAAAAACTTTGAGAAACACTGGTTTTCTATTAGAAACCGATAGTAGTTTAGGTTAAACACGACCGAAAGCAGCGGGGCTTACGACCGGAGTGTCGAATGTGAAGTTTTACTTATCTATGACTAAGCGCTGGTCTATTGAAAAAGAAAAACTTTTCCCTCTCCTGAATAATGGCTGCGAGTGTGAACGGTGTACGTATTAAATAAAAGTGTAAAAGAACAATAAAAGTCAGTTAAAATATTAAAGCATTTTATTAAACAAAAACAATTTGTAAAATTGGTCCCGGCGTTGTTCAGTTATGCGCTTACCAACACATTTTGCGATTTATTTTTATATATATACACATAGATATATAGAAAAAATACATGTTTCTGGGTACCAAGTGACTAAGTAAGTAGTAAGTTTTTACTTAGAGCTCTCTCGCCGCTTTCTATCCGTATCCGAGAAAGCACAGATCTTCGAGATATGAACTCGGACAGAATAGGGATATTATTTAAAAGCGTATAGGCTTAAACTACCAGAAAAATAGTTCTATGACTGTGACAGACGATATTTTCATGGGTTCGGATCGGACTTAGGACGAAAGAGGTCCTCCTTTGTCCTGTCCTATAAGTTCAGGGGATCCGTTTTTAACCGAAGCTAATGAATATTTCCGATGTGCTATTGTAAGACTTAGTACACTAGCTACTCTCGTGCGGTTTCAACCGCTGCTAGATTCCATTTGATCGTAGCGTGATGTTTTGTAGCCTATAGCACTCAGGAATATTGTAGCTATCTATCAGTGAAAGAATTTTGGAAATCCGACCAGCGGTTCCAAAGATTACCCTACATACAAACTTACAAAGTTTACCTCTTTAAAATATTAGTATAGATTACTGATATGTGACGGTGAAGGAAAACATCCGGAGGAAACTTGAACTTTAAAGTTTTTATCTTGAATAAGCGTGATGATTAATGCTCAAATCTGCTCTGTGTAAGGTGAGACCCTTGCTCCAGCAGTGAGTATTTTGTAGGCCGATAATGTTGAATGATAATGATGAAAAGTTTGATAAAGGTTACACAATAATAAAAATATTTTGTTCATAGCAAACGTAAGAGAAAATAAAAAAGTATAATTATATTTGCCAGCCCAGAGCATAACTTTATTTTTAAGTGTGTAAGGAAAGCTTGCCTCATGCAACTGTTACACAAAGAACAGGCTATAAACGCCATTATTGTGGTATACAGATTTATGCCTTATTACAATGTATATAATTCAGATATTGCGATTGCACCCACACGCAGTCTTTTGTGTGGGTGTTGGTTCTGCATTACTTAGTAGCGGCACATATACATGAACATATAATGTGTGAGGGATAAAGATGCATATATAGGTCATTTTGATGATATCATTGACATTATTTAGTTCATCGAATTTCTATGAAGTGTTAATTTACAGGCCGTAAAAAGACACTTAACGAAGCCGTTAACTACGCATACTGCAGTTCTAATTAAGTAGCTTTACGCTAAAATTATCACTGGGAAACGACTGTTATTTTTAGGTATCAAAAAAAAAATAATAATAATTTTATTGCGCGCAATGTAAAGTAAACGGGCTTTGTGTCATTGTGTGCGTAGGTTCACAGCTTAGCATTAAAACGCTGTGATAAGTACGTAGGTCGACGTTTTACTTCGCAACAACAAAACAATTCTGTAAAATAAAAATCCTATTGAGATGCACGATGTTTTTTGTGCGGGTCTGCATTTATTTATTACGTACATTACTGTTCGTAACTTTAAATGCGTAATTCATTTAGAAAAATCGAAAATTCAGGTAATGTTTTTATAATAACTATCGTGAGACATACTAAATTAACTAAAATTCGCGGGTTACTCACGTGTAAATGTTGAGAAAAGCTCTACTAGTTTCGAACCACAGAGGGGTTCTTCCTCATGAGCAGCGTGCGCGGACGCGGCGACGTCGTGCAGCCTACTGGTTAGCGTTGGCGCCTGCATCGCTGTTGATGGTTGCGCTGCGGCGAGTCCAACGCGCCATCTGCCGGATACCACGCGCGTTTGCTGCCATCTCCGGCGGCGGCGCGTGTGACGATGTTGAGGCGCACGGTACGTTCACCAGTGGCGCGGGTAGTGGGTTCGATTCCGGGCCCGGCACAAAGTCTGTGTTACATATGACGCTTACTGTGTCACACTCCAGACTGGATACGCTTCGGACCGACGTAGTCTCCAAGCTCGGCTTCCACGCGGGTGGCAATGAGGAAGAACCCCTCTGTGGTTCGAAACTAGTAGAGCTTTTCTCAACATTTACACGTGAGTAACCCGCGATTTTTGTTAATTCAGGTAATGTTTGTTTGGAAAAAAGTTTTGTAATAATACTTAGAACGCGATTGCGCAAAAAAATATTTAAAAATGTATCTTTGACTTTCAATATCTCGAGAACCCGTGGAGTCCCAGCTATGGTCTTTAAGAAAAATTTCTTGTTCTACGTGGTTCCACCTGCTGCCCGTTTCCCATTTGTTGTAGCATTAGCGAAAAAAAAAATTTTAAAACAATCCCAGAAAATAACAAAATACCTCTATGATTATGGAATAAGGATTTATTTAATGCTATTACACAAATGTTGTAGAGTACATTGGTTTTATTGTAAACTAGTTTCTGCCATCGGCTTCGCCCGCAGTACCAATGATGGCGTTTTCTTGTCGTTCAAAATTAAAGTCAGAATCATTTATGCCAATCAAACCATAAACAGGTAGGTACTATTGAAACGGTCATAATACAATATCAGTTAGTCAGCTTGTTCGTCAAGTAGTGACGTCGATGAGGTGCTCGTGCCAAATTGTAGATTCGAATGGAGAAGCTCCGGCACGCATGGGTCGGCTCGATAATTATGATAGTGATACCACGGCCTCACAGAAAACCGACGTGAAACAACCACAGCATTGTGTTTCGCCGTGTGAGTGAGGTTACCGGATTCTCAATCCCTCCTCCTCCCCCAAGCCTTCCCAACCCTTAAATATCTGAAAGCCTTATCCCCGAAAGGCCGGCAACGCACTCGTAACTCCTTTGGTGTTTCGGGTGTCCATGGGCGGCACTGATTGCTTACCATCAGGTAAATCGTCTGCTCGCTTGCCGATCTATCCCATAAAAGAACGAGCAAGAGACTCTATCGTTAGGTACTCTTTTAAACCGTTGATATAATAGGGATACCCGGTTGTAATAATAGGGAAGTAGGAACAGTAAGTTTACATCAAACTTATGTTATGTTTAATAGTTTAATTGTGTTTACGTTATGTAAGTTTAGTTATCTGAGTCAACTTGATTCAATGTTATGGAGCGGTTCGCTCGTGGCTGGGTTTAAGTCGACTCATATGTCGTATTTAATAAAGATATTTTATGTAAAGGTGATGTTCCGTGGCCTGGTACAGGCGCCTGCCTCTCGTATTTCAGAAAGTACGAATGTTATTTTTTCCTAATTACATGTAATTTTTAAGTTTATTAAGACACCATTGTCATACGAAGAAGAAAAACATCGTCATTAAACTTCGATTTATAACTTCTATTTTGTTATAAATTTGAACTCACCAATCTGCCCTGAGCAAGCCTGATGATTAATGCTCAAACATTAAACTTATAGGCTTGTGAAGATGATGATGTTATTTCCATGTTCCACATTCAGCATTTTGAAACGTATTTCAGTTGTATGAGCGACATTGGCTCTTACAACTAGGGCAAAACGTCGCTACCTTCTTAGCCATGACATATTATAGGTATTGACATTCGTATTCTCTATTTATTTGACTTTCACCCGGTTTCTGAAAGGCTTGTCATCGCTAAAAGTAACTAATCTCTTGTCATGTCATCTGATTGGTTGTTGATAATTCAGTCAACCAATCAGATGATTTGACAAGAGATTAAATTGGTTTTAACATTGATCGGCCTTTCGGAAACCGGGGGTAAGTATCTGTTCAGTAGTTTTCGTCATCGTCGGACAACAGCAATGAGTCCGCTGCCGACCTTCGGCTCGATAAGGATATCGGATATTGAAGGATTGGGAAGGGATGAGGGGAGGGAAAGTAATTGGGCCTGCAGTTACTACACCCAAACGGCGAAAGACAACGCTGTAGTTGTTTCACGTCGGTTTTCTGTGAGGCCGTGGTATCACTCCAGTCGACGAGCCGACCCATTCGTGCCTAAGCTTTTATAAATATCTGTACCTACCTCTTAGAGGAGATTGGCGTCATTTGGTATTACATTACATAGCACGAATATTTGATAACAGTTCCCCAATATTTATCTTAGAGGTACTTAAATACGGCTTTGGTGCGGTTTGTCGAGAAAAGCCAGGGCTTAAAGGCTATGAATAGGAGTTCAATTTTATCGTCTTTCTCAGGCCTTTTCGAAATACTCCCGGAAACAGTGTCTTAAAAGGCTCAATTGATTGCTTATTTTGCTCAATTTAATATTGATGAGAAATTATTGGTTGAACTTTTTGAGTGACTAACACACGTACCGGGTCAGGGGTTTAAATATTTGGGTTTTATTTATTTTTTTGAAGGAACAAGTCATCTTCTAATTAAGTGTGGGAGAGCCATGCTTCGGCACGTATGGGTCGGCTCGACCGGAGTAATACCACGGCCTCACAAAAGACCGGCGTGAAAAAACCACAGCGTTGTGTTTCGCCGTGTGAGTGAGGTTACCGGAGGCCGAATCCTCTCTCCTCCCCCAATCCCTCCTCAATCCCTAAATCTCCAAATCCCTAAAAGGTCGGCAACACACTCGTAACTCCAGGGTGTCCATGGGCGGCGCTGATTGCTTATCATAATGTAATCCGTCTGCTCGTTTGCCGACCTATTACATAAAAAAAACATCTTGGGTGGGGGTTGCATAAAAAGGAGTGTCAGTCTCTTACTGACTAAAAAAAAACACGTAAGTAGCTTCTCCTGCCCCAGGCCCAGGCAGCGCTACATTATAACGTACGACCAACCAAAAATCTTGTTATTTTTGGAGTCAAATTTTATGTATGCGTTGTTGGTTACCCTTAAATAAATAAATAATTACAGGAATATAACTGTAAAGGCCTTCTACAAGACCCACAGGATCCAGAGGTCCAAATTAAATTAAGGCCATCTTTTCATTCTACACAAGGTCCATTGTGAGGTTCTTTTGTAACAGAATAACAATGCGACCCATATTTTAACGTTCACAGGTGCAAAGTAAATTTAACTTTTTGAGAAAAACTTGTTAGCAACATAAAGCTAAAATATTATGAAGAAAATTGTAGTTTGTGTTTGTTTAAAGATAATGTTGTGAAATAAATTATTTGAGTTGCATTCTTTTCTTTTGTTTCGTTGGAATGTTTTGGTTTGTCCATTTTATATTGTACCTAGTAAGCAACTTAACTGTTTTCTAAGAAAGGCACATGATTTTTTAACGAGCAGCTGGATGACCTGATGTTAATAACATTGCAATTACAATTATTTTAAGTCTGGGAGAAATGCATCAGCACTATTAGGTAGGCTTGACCGGAGTGATACCACGGCCTAACAGTAAAGCGGCGTGAAACAACCACAGCGTTGTGTGTTTCGCCGCGTGAGTGAGGTTACCGGAGGCCCGATCTTGCTCTCTCTTTTTTTAAATGATTGTTGCCCCATTCTTTGTTTTTCACCTGTATCGTGGATGCGTTAACATATATGCAATTCATATGCATACATACACAAGCCACCCATTTGCGTGATACACAATCAATAGTTTGTGTATCACGCAAAGTGTTGTTCCGTGCAGGTATCTAGCCGTGTCATGTTGTACAGCAGCCGATTGCCCAGCTACTGCACCAACCGTGCAATTAGAAACTATAAGTCTACGTTTCATAACAATCTTTTCGTTCACTGTCTATGTAAATAACCTAAAATTCATTTTACTCGGAAAAAGTCACATCGGTACTCACCACATTTCGAAACCGTCCCCTCATTCATGTAAGAGAAGCGGGCGATTTAGTTCCACGCCATCACACTATTAAATGAGTTGTTAAATTAATTATGCATCCAAAGGAAAAACTGTATGGCAAAGATTTTTATTGTACAATTTCCAAAATCTAAAATTTCTTTTTAATATAAACTATCATGAGACATACTATGTTTAAAAAAATAATGAAAAATAACTTATTACGGGAATGATCTAAAAAAGATCTGCTAGCTTCAAATCATAACGGGACGAAGAGTTGGCTGGCGCGACGTTTCCGCGACGCGTACGCTGCTCATGAATTACACGAAGTAGGCTGCTTTTCTCAGTTCATTCCCTCGAGTAAGAGGTCATTTACAGCACAGTTTTTTCTTAACAACTGAAAATAAAAATTCCATTTTTTTTAAATTGTTTATAATGTTTTAAACTTTTTTCTTAACCTAGGACCCTGCGTGGCGGGAGTGGTGGGTCTGAAGATGCCTCGGTATTGTCTCTTCGGAGACACAGTGAACACCGCATCACGAATGGAGTCTCATGGAGAGGCCCTGAAGATACATGTCAGCCCGAAGACCAAGGAGGTTCTGGACTTATATGACTGCTTTGAACTTGAATGCAGGGGAGAAATATCCATGAAGGTTAGTTTTCTGAAAACTTGAATAATATATCTCTTTTCCTCCAAGACTTAAAAACCAGTTTTTTCAGCTCTCATAATGGAGGAAGCGAATGGTTTTTAAACTGATGTCGTTTAATTATTAGCGACATTGGCTACTTCTTTATTTTGTAAAATAAATAGGAGGTGGTGCATTGGTGTGCAAAAAAAGATTTTTTAGAAAAACCTAACTTTTTTTTAATGTTGAGTATTTAATAATGGACATGAGTTTGTCTTTAGCTACTCAGCACCGGTTCTTATCATTCCTACACAGCCTGTATCTTTACTCATATTTCCAACTAAAGTTAGACATTTTTATGAACAAAATACATTTTTCGAAAATAAAAATAAGTTTCACGGGACACTACATTAAAACTTGTATTATTTCCGTAACACACTCTTTACCATATCAAAGGCCAGAATAACAAACGGCTCTTTGTCTTATTCAACCTGTCGCGTTATGAATTTTTATAACAAACCGACTTCAAAGATATACATAAAGATAATAAAAAAAAAAAATTACTTTAGGAAAACATAGTTAATAATAACTTGTATAGTACTTGAAAAATAAAATTGTGTCACAAAAACCTTCTGAATGTATATGCTGTAAAAACTGTCTTAAAATTAATTCAATTTATATATTTCTCACTATTTTGTTATCAGGGCAAAGGTAAAATGGTCACATACTGGCTAATCGGGGAGAAAAAACCAGAAAATCAAGAATGCTACTACACACAAACAAACCATGTCCAGAGCACATTGGTGAGCAATCCAAGCATCACGTTTCAGGGTCCTGACAGCCCTGCTTCTCATTCTCTAACACAAAGTCACAGCCCTGAACAGAACATTCCAGAAACAAAAGAAAACAATCGCCCACTGGAGATACAGAGCGAGAGAGATCGCATCAAACATGAGATAGCAACATTTGTCGCTAAAGACTTGATCAACAACATTGATATCGCTGTCAGAGAATTTCGGAAGTCTCAAAGCGCAAATTTTGTCACAACAACCAACAAACCATTATGCAATGGAAACGAAAAAGGCCTGATAACTCCGACTTATGATAAAGAGCTCGTGATAAGCAAAGGTAAAGTGCGGGATGTTGTAAACAGATTCAACAGTTGCGTGATCACCAACGACGGTGTCAACAAATGCACGAAAACGAAAATAAAAAATGAAGACTGAAATGACAAAGGAATGCTTACTGACTTTCCCTGCCCGGTCTAAACAGATTTTTGTAACTTTAGAAGTGTTTATAGGGAAACTTATTTCAAAAAATAACGGAAATGAAAAAAATATATTTTGTGCCAAGCACATAGATTTCTTTAATAGTCTAGTCATTATTTACGTTTTGAGAAATTATTATATTAATAATATTAGAGCTAACATTCTTAAGAGAAACATGTTAAATGTAGTGGGTGACCAAATACCCTCCGAATTCTAGTTAAGTATTAACAAATGATTTTAAATGTATCTCATAGATATTTATTATACGTGTAATAGTTTTAAGTGAAAATTCGCAGACGCGATTTCAAGAAAGATGTAGTGAGAATATTATGTGTGAATATTAAAAAGTAACTATTGTATTATACACTTGGACCCTGTAGTGTTTTTACTGACCTTTTATACTTCCGTATCTTTCTATTCCAATGTATACTCGATATAACTAAGACATTTGTAAATAAATTGATAAAATCTACATTAATTCGGTTGTATAACTTAGTCAAGACTGTTCGACGAGTTAACCCGATTTGTTTCAAGCCAACCGGGTACCATAACCATGAGCGGCAATGTGCGACAATCACCGCGACAATGGTCGTAAAGTTTACTTCTTGGGCTCCAGCCATAACTTGAAACTAGTTGAGTAACCTCGATAAGCAGTAACGTGAGTTTGTACTACCTAATTAATTTAATATGACTAAAGATAGTCTGTTATGATATAAAATACGTCTTTTTACACCAACTTGGGTGTTGTAATGTCATTCCCGTAGTTGGACTTCACGAATACTTAAGTAAAAAATAAATATTTTACGCTTATTTAGATAAAATTCTGATTTGATCTCACATTTACATATATAGTTGTTAAGTGATTGTTAGATTCTTCTAATTTTAGATCGTTGGTTGCAATTTATGCTGTAAGCATTTTAGATGATTTCGATGTTTAAATAAAATACGTTATAGCTTAGAGATATTTATCGATGTTTTGTATACAATATAGGCAAGCAGTAACTGGTTCATTGAATGGAATAAATTATTAAATGTAACCTATTTTGTTTTTAAAAAAAGAGTGATGGTAATTGAGCGTTTTTCATTTTTTTTATTTGTTGCTTTTGTGTTTACTGCATCGTGTATTCAGTATTTTTAGTCACAACACTATTGAAATTAAGGAAAGATACATGAATATGATTGATAGTATCGTTTCATATAAATTTAGACCAATTCCAATGAATTGTCAATGTTTTGTGTTTTAGTGAATTTTCATTGTTATAAAACACATACATATTTATGTAATTTGAATAGATTTGTAAGTAAAGACCTCTATTTCTAGTCTGTTTTAAATTTATTGATTGTGATTATATTATTGTTAAAGTACAATTTATATAGAGCTGTGAATCTGATATTTAATTTTAATATTTATAATAGTTTATTTGTTAAAAGAGTTCCTTTGTCTAATGTGCACGATCTGTTGCGTCATTGTTTAAATCATATTAATAAAGTGATATAATGGTAATTGCTTATTTATTTTTATTTCAAAGTCTATAGTTTTTTATAGGATACGTCGGCTGACGAGACGGGTTACTTGATGGTAAGCTGAAGCAATAGTCGCTCCATGGACACTTGCAGCCATGAGGAGTCAGAAGTGTGGTACTGACCTTTTAGGATTAGGGTTCAGGGGATTGGAGGATTAAGAGTAGTAGGGAGTGAGGAAAGGTTTTAGGGGAAGGATTAGTTTCGTATTATGTTTTGATAGTTACCTTCTTTATTTTAGGGTTGAATTTTCTTTATCCACTTATGTGTAGTAGTACTAGTTTGTAAGTTGTACAATTCATTACGAACAATAGTGGTTTGTATTATGTGATTGATACACGATTACGCGCTTCCAGCTTAAATAATAATAACTATTAATAACCTTTAATGACCTATAATGTTTTCTTTGTGCAATAGATAATACGTTAAATTGACCTGTATAACATCACATCTCTTTAACTCTAAAGGGGTATCTATTAATGCTTGATGCATTTAATTTAGTTATGTGATAACTCTCATGTTATGAACATTGGGTGAGTCTATTGCTATTCACTGGTAGGTTTTTTCAGTAATATAATATTATTCTACACATCTAAGTTTTTTTATGGCAGAGGTCTGCTGCTTATAGATCACCTTCTGGTTAGAAATCGGCGACACCCTTGGTCACCTTGCATAACAAGAGGTGTTTTAACTAGGCTGCCAGACTCTTTAGGGTTCAGCCGGGGTTGCGGGGTAAGCGCAATGAGGTACCGCGACCTCGGCCCGGAGCAGGAGAAGGAACGGGGGGGTTTTTAGTCAGTAAGAGTCTGACACTACTGGGCGGGAGAAGTCATTTGATGATTTTCCCCTCAAAAAAGAAAAAGACTTTTTAGGGTTAGGAATTAATGTGTGAGATGGGGATTGGAGATGGGGCAGTAAGATGAAGATTTCTGTAAACCAGTTTTGTTTCACGATGGTGTTTTGTTAGGCCATGGTATGATTTCGGTTGGGCTAGCCTATATGTGTCTAAGCATGGACCTCCCACATGAGGAACGACATTTAAATAAAATAGCTTTAGTCTTCTAAAAGTTAATTTGCCGTTTTTCAAAGTCTGCGAAATAAACCACAAAGCAGATATAATTCCTAACTAGAGCTAAAAACTTTTTTCATTATCAAACTTTTTTCAAAACTTCCACGGCTTCGTTTTTCTTTATTTGCATTTCTCACAAAGGTTAATTAAAGCGAGAAGCTTGAGTTTAAGCCCAATTAAAATACATTATCAGTACTTTAAAAAGAATAGCTAGACGTTTTTTAGGTTTTTTTAAAAATAGAACATATATCCAGACTCAGTGCCAGTTCTAAGAATAATAAAAAAAACAGTCAATCTTCGGGGCGAGAAAGAAGGATAAAGCTATAAAAGGTGTATAGCTCTATCCCTCTTTCTCGCGCCGAAGATTGACGCTTAAACACGTCATGGTAGACCCGCAGATATAGCATGGGTCCAACCAAACTGGTCATGTATCAGAGAGATTTCCCCCCTCTAAAAAACATACTGAGCAAACATGTTAACATTTCAGTATAATATGATATGAATATGACAAAATATGTGCTTCTAAAGGTGTTATTCATGTAAAACTACATCCTAAACCCACATCATTACCAGTATTGATACTTTAAAAGTTAATGCGCAAAATCCCTTACATTTTTGGTAAATATTTGTAACCCTCTAGGCAGAGCCGGCCGTTGTTTGCAAATGTCAACATCCACGTAACCATACAAGGAGATTGGGAAGTGATATTGCGCACACAAACCAAAAACTTTGATTCATTTTATAAAGGGAGTTTATAATGGGAGTTTTCAATGCCCTTTTTAATTATTACAAGCTTTTTTTTAACTTGCAACATGAATACGTTTGTAAAGAAGTACCTAAAGGAGCAGCAGATGCCGTCAAGGGTTATTTTTTTAAGGGAAAATCATCAACTGACTTCTCTCGCCCACGGTAAGGCAAGACGAAGTGTCATTCTCTTGCTTACTAAAAAACCCCCCGTTCCTTCTCCTTCTCCTTCTCTGGACCGGGGTCGCGGTGCCTCATTGCGCTTATTGAACATCAGCCCTCTAGGGCCCCATCTGATCATCAATGGATTTTTTTTTGTGAGGGGAAAATCATCAAATGACTTCTCCCGCCCAGGGCCGGGCAGGAGGGAGTGTCAGACTCTTACTGACTAAAAACCCCCCTGTTCCTTCTCCTTCTCTGGACCGAGGTCGCGGTGCCTCATTACGCTTGCTACGCAGCCCCAGCTAAAACATCAGCCCTGTAGGGCCCCGTCTGATCTTCAAGGGATGGAGGAATTTTGACGCTTAGTTTACGTCCATAAATGTTTAGTTACATGACTAAAATGTTAAGTCACTAGTCTTCTTTTCTTTTCCTTCTTCTTTCATAATAAATTGCAGCAATGCTGAGCGTCGTGAAGAATCTGCATCATTTGCTAACATGCAATCTTGCTTCTTGCTCCTATCATTGATCGTCATATTGCGATTTCATATACGATCGTTTTTGACATTTCAATAAAAGTATAGAATTTAACTAGTTGGAAACTACCACATTAAGTTCACTTTCGCTTAAGTATAATATTAATTCAGACGGCTTAGAATGTCCTAGGCAATAAAACTAGGATTAAATGGATATTCCTTCCTTTTACGGTCAAGTTAAGAGCGGTAGGTTTAACGGCTTGTGAGTACTTATTCACCATAATAAATCTCCAAGTGCCTCTGAATTAATAAATCCAGGCAACTAGCTTGATAAGCAATTCAATTAACGACCTAGCCAGTTTAAAAATGTATAATGAAGTCGGCTCGATCTCTGGGCGCATTACATTACTAGCCCACCTCTTCTAAAAGCAAATTTTTTTTATACCATAAGTCTCCAAATGAGCAGACGGATAACCTGATCGTAAGCAATTGGCACCGCCCATGGATTTTTGTAATACCGAAGTTACTACAAGAACATTGCCGGCTGAAAAACGACGCTGACCCTCCCACACTTAGGCACTTAGGCAACTCGGTTTTAATAACATTTCTTTCACCATTCAACGAAGGGCCTGGATGATAAATTTACCCCTTCAACCAAAGCAGGTCACTTAATCCGTTACTGAAGCTAGTTGGCGGTGAGAAAAACACAAGCTTTAAAGACACATGAACAAAGGAAAATCAATAGAAAACAGGTAAGCATTACCTACAAATAAAAAGCCATTTTCTAAACGATACAGACCGGGAAATAACAAGCTACGAGCCGAAAGATTGATATGTACTACCACTGATATATGTGGAACAGTGAAAAATGATACCTATGCGCAAACTACGCGGGCAAACGGAGTGAAGACGTATTCAGTGATGGATGTGGCCTGTCTTTACATAGCTATTGTTATGATTTCGTATTCCGTTGCCTTGTGTTAGTGTGATTGTGGAATAAAATGTTTCTGAACCGACGCAATGGATGTGAAAGTTGACGATATTTTGCTGTAACAGTAATCAGTAAGCAGTCTACGTAGTAATTAAGGTATTTATAACCGCAGCGTCGAATAAGTTTACTTTAAGATAAGTATCGGAAAAGCAAACTAAGGGATTACAAATTCGCAACGGCAGGGTGAGCAGCGCCTCCTTGACTCTGACTTAAACTGCAATCGTTAACCATAAGCTAGTTCTAACTGTGTAAGTAAAAGAAATTACATATATGGTATCAGCCAGAGTTGTGGGGAAAGGTACCGCAGCCCTGGCATAGAGCCGAAGAAGATGGGGTGGTTTTTAGTCAGCAAGAAGAAGTAATTAGATGCTGCCCTACGCCTACGCCCTAAAAAACAAACAACATTTCATCGGAATCATTACTATGTGACTTAAAGTAATCATGGAATAAAAAGGTCCTGGTTCGACAAAATCCGATTATCCCATGCACAAAGAATGGTAACGCACTTGTAAGTTTAGTGTTGTGAGTGTCACTATTTGCTTACCATCAGGTTATCTGTCTGATTTTTTACCGTGGTGTTCGTTAATGTTACACAGGAGACCGATGTCCTATACATACATGGACCGACATACTGTAAATCACATCGTACTATCTCTTCGTGGATAAGCCATGATGTTCAGGGTTCAATGAAAGAAGAACAAAATAGGTGCGATGAAAGGATAATTTAATCAAGAGAAATTGACATGCGTAGGACACAGGTTGACAGGAGTAAATTGAAGGTCCTACGTTCGGCATAGAAAGGTACCTCATGACTGTCTAAAATTAGGTTTATGATCAGATTCAAGCTTGTTTACATAGGTCAAGGTCAGTGTCTACAATGGGTTCCATCCACTGTCATACGGTGAAGGAAAACATTGGGAAACAGTATTAGTTGTGACATATAATTTCTAAT